TCTCTCTCTCTCTCTCTCTCTCTCTCTCTCTCTCAGAGAAGCTCATTCTGGGAGAAGGAGCTGCCATTTTGAGAGCAGCCCTATGCAGAGGCCCATGTGGTGAGGAACTGAAGTCTCTGGCTGACAGCCAGAAAGGAACTGAGGCTTGCCAACAATCACATGGATGAGTTTGGAAGCAGATCCTTCAGCCTCTGGAGAGTCCTGAGATGACTTTAACTCCAGTTGACAGCTTGACTGCAACCTCCCCAGAAACTGTTAAGCCAGAACCTCTAGCTAAGCCACTCCCAGGCTCCTAACCCACAGAAAACTGTAAGATAGTAAGTGTTTGTTATTTCACGCTGCTAAGTTTTGGGGTAGTTCATTAGACAGCAAGAGATAACTCATAGACAGCTAATTCTGACGAAACTCTCAGAAAAAACAGAACCCTATCACCCTTCTTTGGAAGGGGTGGGGACTTATCCCCCTGGCCACAGTGATTGGTTCAGCACTGGGCCATGTGATCTAGGGCTGGTCCAATCAGAACAAACCTAGAGATATTGGTACGAAATTCTCATTTACGCTGAGCGTTTATCTTAAGTTTTTGAGCCATAAAAGCAGACTGGAACTGCCAGGGGTGGGGTGAGATGCAGAGAGAGAGGAAAGAGGGGACAGTAGAGGACAACATGAGGAGACTAAGAAAGCAAAACTGAGTGTAGATCCTGGTCTTGTTGGGTGAGTATGAGACCAAACTCCACCTGAAGCTGACCCTCGGTTGGTTTAGCTACATGAACTGAGAAACTCTCCCTACCATTTTCTCCTTTTTTCAACAAGTTAATTTTGATTTTCTGCCTCTTATATTCTAAAGATTCTGCTGTCCAAAACCATAAATGAATTTTAAAACTGAACTTATTTTTTACTTCAGTTCCATTTGCTTCTCTTCATCTCTGTCTAGTCATTGTTTGTAATCTCTTCTTCATTCATCATATTTTAGCACTCACTTTTATTTTTGTATATACTAATTTTATATTTTGTATAACTTCATTATATATGGTCTTTGTGGTTCTGATTCTGCTATTTGTTATTTCTACTGTCTCTTACTCATGATGGCATATTTTCCAGTGTCTTTTATGATTTACGAGTGGGAAAAATCTTGGAGCCTTATCTGTGGAAACATTTTGAAGCCTGGTTCTAACGTAAATTAATCCAGAGAGAATCTGAATTTTCTTTTGCCAGATGCATAGGAACACTACCAACCTAGAACTACTTGAAGCTTTGGGTTTAGGGTTTAGGAAACCTTTAAGCTATGTAGGGGGTATAATTCTGACCTCAGAGCTGCCTGTTGAAGAGAAACTTGTGGTTAGGAGTTTTCAGTGGAACTGTGTTCTTTTTACCCCTTCTGTCAGCTTCAGGCTGGGATATCCAATTGTCTCACTTACCAGTCATGAAGAGATGGCTCAGAATATGCCTGAATCACTTATCATCAGTCCCCAGAAATAAGATAGGAGTTGGATCAGCATCTTCAGATTCTCCATCCTCCACTGGGGTGAGTACTGTACAGGGTCTGTACTGAGACTGGAGATATGTGACTTGTTTATCATTTCCATATGACAGGAACCCCTTTGCCTGTTGCTTACTGCTTGTGGACCGCTTAGAGGAGCTGGAAAGCCTTACTACTCCCTTTGTGTTTGCTCAGTCTTCTTTGGATACATCCCCACCCTTTGGGCTGACACGGGAGCCCTCTAGAATGGGGGATGAGGCTCCGTCACACCTATACAGGTGGTGGTGATGAGGAAGGGGAAGTCTCCCTCCCAAAGACAGAAAGATTCAAAACCAGCTCAGCCCCCCCCCCCCCGCATATCAAGACTGTGGTGGAATTCCCCCTTCCTCCTTGTAAGAAGTTACATCAAGGGCGTGAGGCTGAAGTGAGAGGAGGGGAGGTCAGATGATTGATACTACTTTTGAGACATCTTTTTCCGTTTGAATTGTTATACACATATTAATTCTGACTTAAATGATAGCTATAAATAAAATGAAGCAAACAGGTTTCCACATTATCGTTTAGAAAACTCAATGTTTTCCAAGGGAGTAAGATATCAATAAAGTCAACTGGCCATGGGTTGGCCAATGAGTTACCTCAAGGGGACTATTGGCAGGAAATACAGATGCACACCAGCCCTGGCTTATCGTTCATTTGTCTCCCTAGTTGTCTCTTGGTCTCAGGGACTGTTTGTGAGTAATATGTGTTACTTTCATGCCTGGTTAGTGACTCAGCCAGATCTCAGGGACGTGTCCTACCAAGAGAAAGGAACCAACGTGTTCCTCAAAAAGTACATTCACCGGAGCAGTGGATTAGAAGCAAAAGGGGTGTAAGTGAGCTGTGATTAGGAAGTTGCTCAGACACGCGGCCCAGAAATTGTAAGGTATAAAAAGCAGGGATGCTCATCTGTGCAGCTGCGTGATTTGCCTCTGGCTGGGTTCTTGCTGGGAGACGAGTAGGGGTGGCGGATGCTTGGACGGGTACTGATTTGGAGCAGAAGTTCCTGACAAGCGAGCTGCTTGTGTGACTGAGGATGGGGCCCCAGGTGGCCAAGGAAAAGAAGTGACACCAGTGGAAGCTTTGTGGGCCTCAAGGTCTCCATGTAAGAGCTGGCGTAGAAAGAGCGACAGAGCCGAAGAGGAGGGAGACAGTGGTTTGGATTCAATCTGAGAGAAAAGTCAGCGGGGAAGGGAAGGAAGTGAAGGGCAGGGTGCTGATGGTGGGCGCTGGGGAAGGGGGGCTCTTCTCTGAGGTAGGAGGGAGGGAGGGGGAGACCGGCATCAAGAGCGAGAAATTCTGAGGTGGGAGGGAGCTCACAGTGGTTGGGCGTGGAGGGCGAGGCCTGAGGAGAGGGGAGAAGGTGGGAATGCTGCCGAATGGAGCCCCATGGAGAAGGTACTTGGATGACAGGCTGGCCAAGCAGCACTGTGGGCTCACCCAGCCAGCACTGGCCAGTGTTCACATCGGCAGAGCATCCAGACAACACTGCGGGTTTCAGTGGCTTGTCCCACAGCTGTAGGTGCCCTGAGAGAGGCGCTGAGAGCAAACATGGTTAGAAGATGAGAGAGTCTGGCCAAGATGGTAACAGAGTCCCTTTGCAGGAGCTTTTGGTGTGTCTTGTGACCGGGCCACTTTCCTTCCATGCACCACCATGTCCGGCCTCCCTCTGGGGACTGTTCTTGTACTGACAGAGATGAGCACGGAGGCGCCTCCCAAGACTCTTAAGACCAAGTGACCAAGGAAGAGGAATGGCCCAGCTGGGCAGTTCTTGTTCTCCAGACCTTTTGGCAGGTGGTCAAACTGTCACAAATAAAAATATCACGGACTCCATCTGGCTTCTTCTAATGGATATTTTTTTTTTTTAAAGGAGAGGAGCAGATGCTTCTCACAGCAAGAAAGAATGCTTAAGGTGATTTGCAAGTGGAAAGAGATTTGCATTTGGCACTTAAAGGGCACTCTTATGGAAACAGCCGCACACATATGTTACACCAATCTTTGTTTGAAGCTGATGTGGAGTCTGAGAAGGGCTTCCTGCGTCATCAGACTTCCCAGGTGTCCTCTGAGTGTCCCCAGGTCCTTCGGCTTTGCAGGGTTACTCTTTCACGTGATAGCTGTCGTAGTTTGGGTTCCACCAGATATCAATCCTGAGACAAGGCTGTTGATGCAAGTATTTTATTTGGGAGGTGAAGAGAGGAGTGTGGGGAGGTGAGACAGTGAAGGGAAGGAAGCCAACTAAAGGTGCTTTCTCAAGCAAGCTGTCACCAAGAATGACCAGGACTGAACCCAGCAGGGGACTCTCTGGAACCCTACATAGAAACACACCTCAGAGTTTTCCCCTCTCCTAGGCGCAAGGGAGATGGGTATTTACCCACTGGCTCTCCTCTCTTCACTCATTGGTTGAGGGTTGTCTGAGATGCAGGAGGTTGGGCATTAATTCCCCTTGCTCTTCCATACTGCTGCCATGTTGGTCTTGAAAGCTGCAGTGACGAGAGAAAGCCCTTGGGCAAAAAATGCAGGGCTGGCCTTTGGAAGTCAGCAGGTGGTGTCCGCGGAAGTGGTTAGGGCCAAGCCTCGCCAACCTCTGCTGGGATGCAGAGAAGACGGCTGGAAGGTGGCTTTTAGAAGGTGGCTCTACCCCACACAGTGTGGGGAGTCCAGGAGCCTCTCCAAAGTCTGGAGTGTCCTGGGTGGGAGGGATTTGTGTCCTGTCCACCTCTTCTCACACCTGACCCGCTCTCAGCACTCTGTTTGCCAGTTCTCCTGCAATGGGTGTCGTAAATGCTGTTGTCTTCGATTAGCTTTATCAGACTTACGGTCCAGCTCCTTCCCCTGCATTCCTCCAGCCACGGACAACACCTGTGTCTCTAGGAGACGTTTACGGAAGATGTGAGGGTAGCAGATGGGGACTAGAGGCCTGTGTAGAAGAGGCGATACCTGCCCCACCCCCACCCCCACCCTGGGCCTCCTCAGGACCGTCTACTTTTCTACACTCTGGATCCCTACCTTGCAGCTGGGGTGCATTTTCTGTGGGGACATTTATCTCTCCTCTTCTCCAAGACTTAGGGCCCCCACAGCCCTTTAATTTGAGGGAAACCCCCAAATTCCTGTTAGTATTTTATGCAGCTCATTTTCTCTCTGCCTCACCTTTCCGAGCTGAAGAAGACTCATCAAAGTGTTTTTATAAACAAAAAGGATCGCCTCCTTACAAAACACACAAAAATGCCTGAAATCTCAGCCAGCTTTTATTTTATTTTTTAATTTTTTTTGAAGAACAGTCAGTTTACAATGTTGTGTCAATTTCTGGTGTACAGCATAATGTTTCAGTCATCCATATACACACATATATTCCTTTTCATCTTCTTTTCTATTGCAGGTCACTGCAAGATACTGACTATAGTTCCCTGGGCCATACAATACAAACGTGTTGTTTATCCGGTCTTGTGAGGGTTCTCCTTGTGTTTCTGATGTGAGGGATACTCCGCCACAGTTCAGTGTATTCTGTGCTAATTGTTCTGCATGTAGATGTGGTTTTTGGTCTATTTGTGGGAGTGTGTGAGCCATGTGTCCTTCTACTCCACATCTTGGCAATCTTCTCAGCCAGCGTTTAAAGCAGATTTTTTTCTTCCCGGCTACAAGTGGCGTGCTGATGGGTGACGGGTGCACTTTGTCAGTGATATCATTGTTATCCTTGCTCAGCCACACCACGAGAGACAGCGTCCTCCACTTTCTGCTGTTTTCCGTTCCCATTTATCCCTTTTACTTTGAAGGTCAGGTGGGGCTCATCACTGTTGACCATGGGCGCGACCGAAGAGAGTGCTGACGCGCTGTTTCTGTTTGCACAGTGCATGACTTTTGTGCTTATTCATTTAACACTTTCTGAGCTTCTACTGAACGCCAGGGGCGTGGACAGGTGCTGGGATACAAATGTGAAAAAGATACCACCGCCATCCTTCAGAGCCTACAGGGCCAAGAAAGGAGAGACGCCCGCAATACAGTAATGGCCACTAGAGCAGAGGTGGGGAGACGCAGTCCTGAGACGTGGGTCTGCTTCTTGCTAATCTGGAGACCCTGGAGAAGTCATGTGCCTTCTTTGAGAGTGGGGAAAGCCTTTGCCACAGAGGCTAAGGTTTGCACCTGACAGCTGATGGGGAAGGACCTGGAGCCCAGGTGCACCAGTGACCATCACCGTCCCTTTCCCTGGACCGTGTGGCCTCTCACGGCTTAGATGGTCAAGAGAACTCCCAAAGGAGAAAAAGATCATTGCAAATCTGAACTCTCCTTTATGTCTGGAAGACTTATGGATGATAAAAGTTAAAAGCACCCATTTTTCTTTTTAAGCATTATTTTTCATGGCTATCACTTTGATGAATAAACCAGAGGTTTGTAGAGAAACACTTTTCCCACTAACTGGGGAATTCATTAGACCAAAGACAACCATGACGGTTTTGGGCCAGCACATGGAGGGGATATGGAAGAGAACAGAGAAACCCATTTGAAGGATGATTCTTGTCCCACAGCAGATTGCCTAATCTATTTTTGCTAATTCTTCAAGTTTATGGATAATTCATCGAACAGTCTGAACTTGCGGTAGAGTCAGTTTTTGTAAAGCCTCTACTCTTTTGCCTTCAGTTGCTCTGTGACAGAGTCCCCTGAGGCAGATCTGAAGCCTCGGTATAGAACTTCATGATCATATTGAATTTAATGCCCACTTCCTTCCTTGCCCAGCCGGGCTTCAGCCTGAGGGACCTGCAGTGGATGGGACTGATCTTCCCTTTTACACCCCCTCCTCTCCTTCTTCTGGGTCACTTTGTCCTCCAGTGCGTTGGGGATTGGTGCTACCATGGTCCTCTCTCGATGGTTGCTGCTTCTCCATCATGGCTGCCTGGCTAGCAGGTGCTCAGATGGTGGCTCCTCTGTGGGGCCCGTGCGTGAGTCTTATGAAAGGCCCTTTTGGAAGGAGCCTCCGACCTCTGCAGTTCCCTGATATGGGAGATTCATTCTGGCCT